CCATGGCCATAACCACCTTGAAATTTAGAAGGTGTGCTGAATGCCATTCTCCCTCACGCAGTCCTGTCGATTTTATCTTGGAAAATTTCCTCAAGCCTCCTATCCTCCCTCCAGCTCCACACCCACGTCAGTTCAAGCATTTCCTCTGCCCCGACCATCTGTCGGCTCCGGTACATTTTCTGTGCAGTCTCCGAGCCAGCCGAGGATCTTCCTGTAATACAGCTAACTGAGCTGCTTCCTTCTCGTTTCACCATCATTTCAGTAAATCACCCTCATTTTGGAGCGTTGCCCAAACTCCCTCCCGTGATACTCAAATGATTCCCTGCTGGCACCCTCCCTCACACCCAAGCGTGATTTTCTCCTTTCCCCTTCCTCACACTCATCCTCACTTATTCCAGGTAAGCTCTGAAAGCTCACTGTCAGAGTTCAAATCCTGGCTCCAAGCCCTAAGGGCTGGTAACCTGTGGCAAGTCCTGCTAGCATCTCTGGGCCTCTCTTCCGTATCTGTAGAACAGGACTGAGAGGAAGTGGGCAGAGCACTGCGTAACAGCTACATCAGTGCTCTGCTGCCGCTCTGTGCTCTGTCTTTCGCTGGTCTCCTCAGCAGGATCACCACAAATAAACACTTTCTCCTCTACCCTCTTTCTGTTTTCGACTATTTGCAGCTCCCCAGAATCACCGCGCGCTCTCCTGCTTCCTGCCGTCTGCCCAGTTTCTTTCTCTTGCCTCACAATTCAGTTGTGCCTCTTGCTCTGCCCTTCGCTTCACCCCTTTGCCCTTCTGGCCAGCCTCACTTGTGCATGCTGTCTTTAGCCTTCACTGCCTCAACATAGGAACAGGAATTTGCCCTCACTTCCTGCTCAGCCCCCGAGAAGCTGCAAGTCTAGCAGAGCTTTGTTTTTGCTTAGGATCTGCAGCCTGTGTCTGTGACACCGAGGATCCATATTACTACAATTGGATGCAAATCCTCCTGTGTGACAAAGGACTGCTTTAATTGGCTTTGACATCCCTGGGATTGCAAGCACAGTATTTCTTCAGAAATTGTCCTTTTACCTGCCCCTCACTGCTAATGTTTTGTGGCTTGGTATTCCAGTTGCTGAATTTCTCCCTCCCAATATTTTAGCTCACTTCTTCTCCCAAACACCCAGCTGACTTCCTCAATGCACCATAAATCTCTGATCTGAATCCTGCTCTTATAGATCATACTGGTGTGCTGATCACAACAGCGCAGTGTGACCTCGTGGGTGTGATTAATGCCACTTGTGTGTTTGTAACACAGCCTTCAACTGCGGTGATATCAGGATAAATCATGGCTCAGTATTTGTTAGCTGGCAAAGCCAGAATCTAAGTGTGACCCTTTTGTTTTACAGGTGAGCACAACAAAGGTCCCCCAAGGTTGGGTCACTTTCTCAAGGTCACACAGTCAAAAATTATTCAACTAAATTGAGGCTAATATCCAGGTTTTTATTTTTTTTTACTTCAATGCTTTTTCTAATTCACCAAAGGTTTTTTTAATGCAAGAAATTAATAAAAACTTGTGGTATTTTACATAAAATAAAATTTATTAGTGTAACTATTTTAAGTGTTAACTTCAGTGGAGCTAATTACATTTGTATTGTTGTGCAAGCATCATCCATCTCTAGAACCTTGTTTTTTTTACCTTGAAAAACTGAAATTCTGTGCCTTTTAAATACTAACTATCCGTTCACCCTGGCCTCAGCCTCTGGTCAACACCACTCTGCTTTCTGAGTCTAAGGCTACTCGGGGGACCTTATATGGGTAGAATCATACAGAGCTTGCCTTTTTGTGTCTGGCTTATTTCCCTTGCACAGTGTCTTCAAGATACATCCATGTTATTAGAATTTCCTCCTTTCTTAAGGCTGAAAAATACTCCGTATGTACTGGTGGTTCTTTGAGACCATTTTAGCATCTCCACAGTATCTTACTGCTAAGTAGTGTTAGAATTTAGAAGAGCCTTAATCTCATTTCCTAAATAACCACTAGGGGGCAGTAAAAGATGCAGAAATTTCCAATAGACCAGCTGAACGCGAAGGGATCCCGCCACTGTACCCTCTGTGTATCTCTTTCAACTGCCCATGTATATAGTTGCAAGGTAGGATTTCACACCCAAAGGCAACTTTGGATAAAACTAGAGATAACCATCAGCTGTAGCCCAAGTGCAAGTCTCCTTCACACTTGCTAAAATCAACACACAGAACTGCATTCAAGATGTTGGTTTCAGATTATATTATTTAATTTGCATTAGTCCAGGTATTCTCAGAATACATATCACAGTCACCTGTGGTGCTTTTTATAAAATACACATGTCTGGGTTTTAGTCAGGATCTATTTAATTCAGAATTTCTTGGGCTAGGGCTCAGACCCAGATCTATAGACTCTATTTTGGTTCTGGCCCATGATTTCTAAGAATCAGTACCTTAATCCTTTACTCTAATAACCTGGGGGTGGGGTGCAGTTGGGGGATGTCTCTTAGTTCCAAGATGGCCATGCTCAGCTGCCAGACTCCTGTTACAGCAGCACAGATATTTAGTCGGAGATGTTAAGAGCGTCCTTCCTATGGCAATCAGAAAAAGGAAGCTTTAATCTTATCAAAGGTAAAAATGGACAGTGAACTAAGGTGGGATCACAGACTTCAGTTCTCAGCCCCCCACCCCACCCGCTAGCCAGTTAGAGGACCCAAGGCAAATCAGGTCACCTATCTAAGCCTTAGCTTCCCCTTTGAATTATGAAAGGATGGGGTGGTGTTGATCTCCACAGATCTTCTAGTGATTCTATTAGTATTAATAATCTTGATTTGTAGTTACTACTCTGGCAGAGAGCAGAAGAAATATTCAGTAATGCAATGAATGACAGAGACTATTGACCGTGGGGTTTAATTTATTTAAGGCACATCCACTGAATTCAAAGGAGAAAATATTGTTCCTGATGATGTATTGAACTGTTAGTATCTTTGGCATAGCAAAAGCTTTCCAGAGGGAAAAATTACCCATCAGTGCAAACTTGACATTTTTCACTTCTTGATCCATAACTGCCACTCGTCCTCTCATATTTACTATATTTACTCTCATATTTACTATAAAGCACCATGTGTATGAATGCTTTGGATGAATATTAAGTAACTACATAAACATCAAGGTCACAGTTGCAAGGGAGAGTTGGTGGAAAGCTCTGGGAGCCTTGCATTGATCTCTTGTGAAGTTCCATTCTCGAATCCTGCTGACAAGGGGAAACAATTGATGTGGACCATTATTAAGGCTTTAAGTGTTTCTCCATTGTTAAAGATCTTTTACAAGCCCGAATAACTGATAGTGCCTGAGGAATTGGCAAAAGCTTCACTTAGAAATATAGGCTGGTCAAAGAGATAAGTCCAGCCCAGAGTGCAGATGTCCTGGGTGTAACTTACACAGCAAAGGCGGAAGCTGAGGGGAGCCCTTTTCTGGGGCATGGCTCAGAGCAGGACCTCCATACCAGGTGTCGCAGAGGTCATGGCTTCCTTTTCCTCTCCATTTCCTCCTTCACATTTCTTCTGGATCCTTCCCCTTGGTGAAAACTGCATCCCATGCCTGTCTCCATTTCCTTTTAGTAAAACTGGATACCTGAGATTGGGCACTTTATAGAAATTTATTGCCTAGGGTTCTGGAGACTGCAAGATCCAGTGTCAAGGTGGTGTCATCTGCCGAGGGCCCTATTGCTGCATCTTAACATGGCAAGCGAGTGCCAAGTGTGCCAGCTTGGATCTCTCCTTCTCCTCTTATAAAGCCATCAATCACCTCATCTTATTATTTCCCTCCTTAAATCTCCACTTCCAAATACTGTCAGCATATGAATCTGGAGATTAAGTTTCCAACACAGGTCTAGAGGCGGGGTGTGGGCACATTCAAACAATCTCATTGGAGAAATGGGGTGCATATGAAACCTGACTCCAGGTCCAGAACAAGACTGGTCAGTGCCTGAGTAATTAATTATGGGAGTGTTCTGCTGACCTGGAGCAGGAGGACAGCAGATCTTATGGATGACAGACTTTAGTTTCAAAAGATGTCAGGAGACTAAAGGATTGGCCAGTGACTAGATGAGGTTAATAACGAATGCAAATGATAAAACTCACATTTTCTGGGCACTCGTTGGATTTGTGGTGGTGTTTGGCCCTCTGCACATTTCAGTTTATTTCAACCTTATAAGGATCTAGTGAGGGTAGGACTTTATATCTTTATCTTAAAACTGAGACTGGTGTATGGAGAAAGGTACAAACACTGTAGAGTCATCCATGTAAATTTCAAACCCAGTTCTGCCTCTCAGTTAGCTGGGAAGTGACTTCGGCAGTAAGACAGCAGTGGCTGGGCTTCCGGTTGCCGTACACATGTCAGGTTCTGTGTGCCTGGCCTCTTGCAGGCGTTTTCTCATTTAGTCATCGGAACGACCTTACTCTTGTTTGACAGATGTGGAAGGCACAGGTAGCTTAAGCAACTTGCTTGAGGTCAAATAGTAAGTGGCAGAACCAGGGTTTGAAGCCAGGGAGTCTGGTGCCAGCCCTCACACTCATAACAATGACTGCATCCTCTGCATGTCCTCTACTGTAAAGAGGGGACACGTATTTTCTAAGAGGGTTAGGTGAGGCAATTTATATGAAGCACCTAGTAAAAGACCTAGTACATGGTGGGCATTCACACGTGGACCACCACCATTATTACTAGTTACATGACTTTCTTGAGAGTTTAGCTAATAACTGGAGAAACAAGATTCTCAAGATTTGTGGCTGCCAATCCAGTGTATTCTTCATTTCCCTCTGGAACACAAATAGAAAACAATTCTTCCATCGCTATCTTAGAACCTCATACAGTGTCAACTCCATGAAGGATGCCCAGCAAGCAGCCAGCAGATAGGGATCTATTCACCTATCAGATATGTGCCCAGGTCCTGCTGTGTTGGGGAACCCTGGAGGAGAAGGGTATCATGCTAATCATTCTTTTCCCCCTCCCCAGGTTCAAATGGTGAAAAATGGTGATCCCTCTTGGAAGCCCACTTTTATTGTGAAACCTGATGGCGGTTGTCAGGGTGATGGAATCTACCTCATTAAAGATCCTAGTGACATCCGGTTGGCTGGGACCCTCCGGAGCAGACCAGCTGTGGTCCAGGAATACATCTGCAAACCTCTCCTTATTGACAAGCTCAAGTTTGATATTCGTCTGTACGTCTTGCTCAAGTCCTTAGAGCCCTTGGAGATCTACATAGCCAAAGATGGACTTTCTAGGTTTTGTACTGAGCCATATCAGGAGCCCAACTCCCAAAATCTGCACCGTGTCTTCATGCACTTAACCAACTATTCACTGAATGTCCACAGTAGCAACTTCGTCCATTCAGACAATACCAGCACAGGCAGTAAAAGGACTTTTTCCAGCATTCTTTGTAGACTGTCTTCCAAAGGGGTTGACATCAAGAAAGTCTGGTCTGACATCATCTCTTTGGTGATTAAGACTGTCATTGCTCTGACTCCAGAGCTCAAAGTGTTCTACCAGTCAGACATCCCCACAGGGCGGCCAGGACCCACCTGCTTCCAGGTAACCACTGCCAGTTCCAATTGGAGTCTCAGCCTCCATCAGGCCTGCACACTCTGGCCTTTTATGGGATGAGAGATGGGGGTGGGGTGGCAAGAGGTGGGGAGAGGGTCGTGGCTGGTGTGGGCTTTTGTGTTAAAACCTGGGCCCAACTCCCATCTTTCTATTTATTGGCTGTATGATTGGGAGCAAGTTATTTCCCTGTTGTTATCTGTAAAATTAGACTAAAAGCACTTGTCTGAAAGGGTTCTTTTAAATGTTCAGTGAGCTAGCATATGGAAAACAGAATGCCTTCCATTTATGCAACAGTATTTACCAGCTGTTTAGTGGAGATCTGGCCTTGTCCAAGGTACTAGTGAGACCGTAGGTCAGGTGCCTGCTGGCTGATGCACTGTGGGAGATAAATCCTTTAAAAAGCAACTACTATGGAGTGTGGCAAGTGCTAGAATGGAATAGGAGGTGCAGGGGGTGCTGTGAGATGGTGGAACCACCTAACATTCTCTGGGTGGCAGTGAAGCAGGCAGCAAAGTGTTGCTGGAAGAAGCGGCAGTTAAACTGGAGGTGGGGCAGGTGGAACTGGACATCAGAAAGGGTGGCACTAAGAGGGCTTCATTATGATTGGAGAGTGGGGTTGGAGGCAGAGAGGTATCGATAGATTCAGGAAGGTGAGGTGGGAGAGATGGGTAGTGCCACATTCTTGAAAGCCTGAGGGAACTGGGGCTCCCCAGAGGGTTTCAAGCAGGGGACAGGCTGCATTAAGATTTGCATGTTTGACAGAACAGAGCATCCGCGGGGAGAAGGACGGAGTGCAGCAAGGCTGGGCACACAGTAAATACCTAGTGAGTCGGCGCCTTTAATTCAGCTAAGGGAGGGTGCTGGCTCTGAATAGAAAGGCAGGTAGAGAGCAGGAGATGGACAGATCTGAGTGCCTGTTGAAGAGGAAGAGTGACTGGACTTGGTGCCTGGCTGGGGCTGGGGGAGAGAGAGAGGGAAAAGTGGTGTGGAAGGAGGGGGGACATGAGGCTGACTTGCAGGTAGCTTGGAGACCTGAATGGAAAGAAAGATTGAGAGAGAGAAAGAGATAGAGAGAGCTCTGGAAGCAGACCAGGCTTGCTGGGGAAGGTCAGGATCTTTCAAATGGCTACTTGGCACCCAAGTGGAGAGGCTGAGTGGACACTTGGATATGTATTTGGCCAGAGTTCAGGAGAGTGGTCTGGGCTGAGAGCGAGATGAGACCTCACCAGTGCTCAGGTGCTGCCTAAAGACATGGAAACCTGTCGGGTGGGAAGAGGCCAGAGAAGACCACCATTATAATTAAAGGACAGAGGCGGGGGAGCAATAGAGGAGCCATTAAACGGTCATAGAGAAGGAGAGGTGCGGGGATGGTGGAAAGCACCGGGGAGGAGGGGGTCTTCAGGGAAGACGCAGCACAGCCAGCTAGTGGAATGGTGTGAAATGCTGAGTAAGACCAGTGCTGAAACTCCCCGTGGTGACCGCTAAGGAGTGACCAGGAGCTTCAGCAACAGTTGTCTTCCGCAGTGAGGGAGGAAAGGGAATGGCGAGAGAAGGTAGAACATCTTCTGGGTCAAGGGTGTCAGGGTGGCAGGCAGGGGACGTTGAGGTCAGGTTCCCGGGAGACACCTGCTAGACACATGCTCTCCTGCCACCAGGAAAATCACAACAGGAAGAGGAGACAAGAAGGGTAACTCCAGACCCTCTCCACCTGATCGCAACATCGTTCTGTGGCATTTGATAGATGTAGATGTAGGACAGATAATGGATCCTACTTGCAAACCATAAAGCAGAACAAAATGATTATCCCCATCCATCTCCCAATTACTTTATTTGCCGCCACCCCATTTCCCTATGGCTACTTATGTAATCAGTATCCTAAATTTTATGTTTGCCATTTTCTTACTTTTCCAAAATAGCTTCATTATGTATAAATAGACTCACAAATGATATGTTGTCTTTTTTCATTTGGTTTTGAGTTTTATAAAAATCCTTTTAGAAAGTACGTCATCTTCAGACACCTTGTTTCCTACCTCATGCAATGCTTCAAAGGCTCACCCACCTAGACGGTGATGATAGGTGTGCAGTGTCTCCTAATATGCATGGATCTTTGATCACTTCTGCCAGGTGATGTCTGCATGTTTACAGCCTATGGCAGGACAGTAGCTGGCGGCATGGGATAAGAAGTGAGAAGAAGGGGTACGGCGAATGTCTCCCATAGTGAGGGGTGTTTCACCCGGAGGTAGAGCTGGTCCTCGAGTGCAGCTCTCAATCCAGAGAGATACTTGGTGACTAAGTATCACTCAGCAGGACCTCCTGAAGCCTTTTCAGAGGGATTTAGGCAGTGATCAGGATCTGGAAGGCATCACTATTGTCCAGAGATCTGTCTCTGGGCCCTTGGACCTCAGGATTTAGTTCCCAGGCAGGAGGTCCAGCTCAGTCCTCAGGTTTGAGATGTTAGAAAGGCTTAAGTGAGCAGAACTTAGACATAGGGCCAGAGAAAACAAATCCTGCTCCTGAAAATTGAGGGAAAAGGAGACACCTTACCATGAAGACGTGTGGGGGTCATCTCGGGGGACTGTGTGGTCTGATCTGTTTGACAGGGACAGCTATTCCAGGATTATCATGTGGGCTCTGACTGGAATGGCCAAGCCGCAGCTCCCTGGCACAGTCAGAGTGGCAGCGGGGAGGGCCAGCGTGGTTGTTTTGCCTCTCAGCTTGCTGTGGACAAGCTGCAAGAGGCAGCCAGCAGGGTGAGCTGGGGCCCACAGTGTAGGAACTGGACGGCAGGCCGAGAGGGAGCTGCTGCTTTGGACAGAGCATCTTTAGCAACTGGGACGATGGCCTTATGACTGTTTTCCACTGCTTGACCACACTAAGTACTTCCAGGAGGAACGCAAGTCTAGTTGCAGAGCTCTTCCCAGCTATGTGACCTTGGATGTGTTTCTTCACTCTGCGCTGCTGTTTTTCTCTCTCTGTAAACCTCCTCCACCAACTTTCCTACCTGCCTTTGAGCAGTAGGATGAAGCAATGCAGCCACTTTGATAACATACAAAGTTGTAGATGTAGCGATTTGTTTTATCATGCATTTTTCAGATGCACAGTGATATTGAGAGAAAACATTTTTCTCTCCTTGGAGTCCTCCCTTGCCTCCTTCTTGCTTGATAGAATACGTGTTAGGAGAGTTTCAGGTCCCTGCACTGACTTGCCACAGCACAGTTTTGCCATCAGTTTGCTGTGTGACCTTGCATCAGTCACCTGTCTGTGCTTCAGTTTCCTCACCCACTTCACAGGGTTACTGTTCAACTGCAATGCCATAAAGATTAGAAGGGCCTTTCAACCTGCAATGCTCTGCACAGATACAGTGTAGCAACTTTTCATTGTAGCCTGGGCCAGCCAGAGGCAGCATTCCAGAACATACACTTTAGCCAACAAAATTACATTCATCTTAAACATGTGACCATGACCCCTTGCCAATCACAGCCACAATAACTACTTGGGAAACCATGATGGCCCTGAGCAGTGGCTGCCACTGCGCAGGCTATGGGCAGGCATCCTGTAATCTGTTGCCCGGGAGCAGGGCTCCCCTGTCATTTCGGCCTGTGCCCTGTCATTGTCCAGGCAGTGCCAGCAAAACATATCCTTACACCCATCCTCTTGGGGACAGCGGTGTGACCCGTGCCTGAACAGCAAGGTTTGTCTGGGTCCAGATGATTCACGTGGCAGAAATACACATGCACAGGCAAGGTTTTCAGTTCAGCTTTCAAGAACATTCTTTCCCATCCCATGACATGGTCCATGTCTTCTTCTTGCCTGTGTGTCTAAGTCTGTCCTTGGTTGTGACCCTTTCCCTTAGATGTCTGAAGGATATGCCTTTCCTGTGTCCTCAGATATTCCCCTTGTCTCCTCTTTGCTCTTGGTGACTTTATCCTTACTTTGCTGCCCAGACACCCCATAAGAAGGAGGCCAAGAAGCAGTATGGTGCTCAAGGGCTTCGTTTTATTCTCCGCACCCTGGGTTTGATCTACTCCAGTTCCCCTCTGCCAACAACTCTAGTTGGTGAGTTCTACAAGTTAACTTTTGTTAGATTTTGGTCCTTTTGCCTGCAAACAGAGGAAATATTTGCAGCTACTTCCAAGAGCTTTTGTAAACTCAAATTAAGAGAAAGCTATATGGAAAGTGTTAGCATAATAAATGATAGTCTTTATGACTCACATTGCTTATTATCATAACAATTGTTCTCAAACCTGTGAGATTTGAAGTTGTAGGAAATCATGAAATATTCACATTTTAAACTTAACTGGAATACTGGTATTGCTAGTCCTTAGCCTGGCATTTGTCACCTCCCAGCCTGGCTCAGTCTAATGTCCCTGTCCACCAGCTGAGCTCTCAGTCCTACAAAACATATCTGATTCCTCTCTCTTGGGTTTCATCAGTGGTTTTCCGGGCCTGCCCTTTTGTTCTCTTCCATTCTGGTCGACCAGAATCTTCTTTCTTGTTCTCAGTTTTTTGACATTCTGTGTCTTCCAAGGTGTTACTCATGTCTTGCCTTCTCTGTAGATCCTTCTTTGCCTGATTTGTCTTCCTTTGGACCCTAACACGTTCCCTGGGCTCCCACTAAGACAAGTCCTAAGCAGTTGCAGGACAGGTGGCTATGGATAAGGCAAGGTCTCCAGGTGTATTCAGTTTAGGAGGAGAAGATACACACACAAGAATGATAGTTCCAGGTACACAATGGTGTCAGGGACACACATGATGCTGGGAGCATACATGAAAGAGAGCGTTGGCTCTTTCTAACTGAAGGCTTCCCAGAGGAGGGGATGCTTAAGTGGAACATAAGGCATGAAAAAGAATTTGCCAAGCAGAAGGTAAGGGACACTGTTTCTGCTGGTTTCTTTCCTGCCTCATTGGCTGCTGCTTCTCAGCTCTTCCTCTGAACCTGTCAATGTTCAAGATCTCTGGGGCTCAGTCTTTGGAAATATGTGACTTTG